AAAACAATAAAAAAGAGCCAAAAATAAAAACACCCTAAATTTAAATATATATATAAACAAATAAGTAACTTTTAAATATTATATTATAAATTAATAAATATAACAAATAAGAATAAGATTAAATTAAATATATTTAGATAAAATTATATTATATATGTATTGTTAAGGTATATTTATATAGATCTAAATATTTAGTGACTAGCGTACTAACTTAAAAGTAACCAAATATATTACTTCTAACACTAGGATAGAGATTGCAAATATAAATTACAAAAACAAAACATGTGTCATTTTGATGGTATTTAATATTGTTGAGACAAAATATTTAAAGAAATATTTCTAAAATATCGCCATTTCTAAAGCGCAAATAGATTTGTAAAAGCAAATGATAATAATTTGGAAAATGAGCAGAAAAAAACACAGACCTTAAAATTATATTTAACTCAGTTTAATTTAATTAATTGCATTTTTGAAAATACAATCTCCCAAGTTTCTCCTTATTTCCAGAGAATTAAGTGTAATAACTTTCCTTACATTTTTGTTGTTGCGTTCATTTGTAAGCATTGTGTAAAGAAAACCCGCTTCTCACTCCATAAAATTGAAAATCATCCACCTGTGAAAGCAACATCAGTTGAAATACAAAGGGAAAAAATATTGTACAAATTCCCCAAAACACGTTAAAATGGCGCGAACAAATAAAAAATTGTCAAGCCCAGACTGAATCACAATGAAATTTGCATAGGAAAATCGTAAAATTTTCCTCCTTTTTTATGCGCTGCTACAATTTCACCGTGACGAAAATTTCGCTTATCGCGATGCGAAGGAGTTAACCCAGGCGAGGGGCAGAAGTGCTCGCGCTTCCATTGCTCACAAAATTACAAGACGAAATTAGTTAATCCCTCAATGGTGCAAACGTGACGAAATTTAAATACCTCCAGCATTTACGGTACACTCGAGCTCTATTTATAGATGCAGTTTCAAAATTTAACAGATTATTAAGGCATACAATTAGGTGTTATTATTAAGTAATAAAACACTAAAGCATACGACTTTTTCTTTTCAAGTAAAGATTTGTAGAGTTTAAAAGAAATTTAGTAACTAATTCTTACGAGCAACAAAACTATAAATATTTAATTTCAATTTTCAATTTATTCACTTTCCTTAAAAACATTATGTAAATCGATAAAACTTAAACAAAAATTAAAGCCCCTAAAAAATAATTAAATACTTTAAGCAATTCAAAAATCTTAGAACTGAAGCTATCGCCAAATGAGTTGAATCTTGAAATTTGTCATAACTAAAAAATTCGCCACCAAATGCATGAATATGGGATCCAAATTTTCACATTTTTGAATAATTTGACTGGCAAGAGGGACAAAGTAGGGTATAGTTTAACAACAAAGCGCTTCTATAAATCTAATAAATCTTACTTGAGCTATCATTATAAGGTACTGACAGTCATGTTGAGATTCAGTTAGATGATAAGAAATTGGAAAGTGGGATATACTTATTACTCAAGAAACTATCGGGGTTAGCAAAGGTCGCGAATTTCTTATTTACGTATAATGTTCTTCTTATAACTAATTAGTCTTCTTCTTTAAGTAGTATGTAAAACTATATAATTTTTTGAAAATCAAAAGAACACTAGAGGGAAAATGCTGCAGTCGAGTAAGCTCGACAATGAAATACCCTCCCTTTTATGCGCCCATAGCAGAAGCAAAAAGAATAACAACAAACCTGCTCCTGAAATTTGTGGGTGTATGAGGTACAGGTATAAAATAGTTTTTCTAATAATTCTTCGAATCAACCGATTTGAAAGATAAGTACATATAGAGTTTTATATTAATTGTGTGAGCTAAGTGTGGTTTATGTGGCTTTTGAAATATGGACAGTATTGACAAAATTCTGTAGCGGCGGAAAGTGGTGTAGACTAGGGACTAGGAGAGTCTGAATATCAGACATTCATCCAGACGGACGGACAGGGCTAGACCGATTTCTCTCGTCATGCTGATTTGTTTTTTGTAGAGCTTTTAATCTTTATTTAAGATCTGTCCTGGATTGGACAATTATTAAATTTTATGATAACTTTCAAATTTTAATTATGCTTCTGTCATGTAGATTACGAATATGGGATCAGATATGCTTCCTTTTACCTGTTACATACTTCGCACAAACCAAATATACCCTTTTAACCTCACCGGTACAGGGTATAAAAATGGGTACAATTAACTTATCCTATTTTTAGTTAAGGAAAATACAATCTGTATACAAATTTGCTTATTTAAGCTCTCATAATTCCCGTAAGTTTCATCGTATTGCTCATGAATGTATATAATTTTTGGGACTGGCTAAGCTCCCAAAAACCTATTACAACCCTATTATAATTTGTAAAAATTTCTCAACTTTAAAAACCTCTTGAATAAGTAGTAAGTTTTGGGGGATTAATGTAAAAGTCTATTAATCTTGTATATTATGAATTATGTGACATTTTGAGTGGTAATTGGTAATGCCTGGTCGAGGTCATGGTTGGTAATCCAATCCTTTGGTAATTAATCAGAACAACATGGAAAGCTTGCAAAGGATTGAGCAGGATGTCTGTTTTAAGTATCTCGGAAAGCTTCTACTCTTTCCTCTTCATCATACTAATAATCTTTCCGATTAAGAATACATTTGAATCGTTAAACCAATCTTGGCTTCCATTGCGTAAAGTAAAGAAAGTATTTTCAAAATAAATTTTGTTCTGGCGGTACTGTTAAGGTGTTTGTCGAAATTTCTCGTGATTACACTTGTGGCCTTGCTTTGTGTCCAAGTGGAAGGGAGGAAATGCTCCGGTCAGCAGTTTCCTTACATAACACTGCATCGGCGGCTGAGCAGATCGCCGCAATATTTACGCTGTGTGTGGCTCGCAAAGTTCAAAGGGCGGGTGACGGTCAAGGCAAGTGCGAGGACCTGTCAGTTTTAATAGAAGCGGACACTTTGATGGCTCGGCTATGGCGATGGCTGTGCCGGTGGTGTTGATTGTGTGCGTGTGTGGCCATCGATTCGGCATGCAATTCTCAATGCCAATACCCTAGGGGGCAGTTTCTAATGATGGACCACGGCGTGGCAGGAGCGGGGTCGAGGACGGGTGTGGGTGTGGGTGCGGGTGCATGGACAGAAGCTGCTGATGTGTAGGCTGCTCATTTGCCGAAATTTTGACGCTTTATGAGGTCCCTTTAGTGCTGAGTGTGCGCAAAAATGTAATTGAATGAATGAATACGACCAAGACTGCAGTATGCGTGGCTGAGTAAGGGCCAGGGGCAGGGACTGGAGGTGGCACTGGAGTGGGCCAAGTTCAACAACGGCCAACAGCATACGCCTTCTTCTTCGCTGCATGTGTATGTGAGTGTGTGTGTGTGTGTGTATGTGTGTGTGTCTTAAAGCAGCAGTCGTCATAAAATGTTTGTCTTCCATTAGGCCAAACAAATGATGACGACGAGAAAAAGACAACAACAATGGCGTGGCGATGATGATGGAAGCGAAATGTGATTCTTCTTCTTAGTTTTCGTGCTCTCGCTGATATTTTTGTTGCCTCAAAAATATTTTATTGCAGAGGGAAGGTAGGTAGAGAGGCAAGTAGTGCCTGCGTTTTCCCAAAGCAGCAGCAATAATCATTCTCCTCGTTGCCACAACATGTCAACTAATGTACGAGCATAAGTTCAAAAACCCATCGAGCCCAGACATGACAGAGTTATGAGTGGGCCACTAAACGGACAGACAGACAGACAGACCGACGGACAGATGGACAGTGGAAGTTGTGCTTGGCCTTAAAATATTTCTTATACTTGTGGTAGTATCTCTCGCTTTTAATTCTCTGCAGTATCGTCGCGTGACTCGCGTGTCTTGCGGTGTCTGTCATGATTTAAGTCACGAATGCAAATGAACAGAACAAGAGGCAAGACAGGCCAGGCCAGGCCAGTACAGGCCGAGTCTGCAGATGCCGAAGTTCAGGTTACGGGCGAGTCAGGCGAATACTTATAGGCAAATATGTTTTTCAATAAATCGGCGCTTGTGTGAACATCGGCGGTCATGTTCCACACTGCCAAATTATCATGACAACTTATTTAGGTACAAAGTTGCAGACCCACGAGTCGAACCCGGCTCCACAACATGCCCCCACCATGACCTCTGGGCTCCACTGCCGGCGCCCAACACGAACTGCCTGCAGAGCCACACCGACTGAGAGACATTTCTGTTTACTTCGAAAAAGTTCGCCGGGCCCATTGGTGCCAGCGCAGTATACTTCCGACTTGGGCAGCAACCGCACTAAAATGTTAATTAGTTAGTCGAGCTCTTGGCGCTGCAGTTGGCACGTGCAGCTCGCAAGGTGACACTTCCGATCCGGTTGAGTACAACACAGATAATGGACAGGGGCACCATAAGGCTCGTAGGTGCTATCTTCTCCTTACTAGAGGAGTTCCTGCAAGGCAAACTTTTCAAAACAACAGCCGCCTTTTGTTTCTGGTGAGACACATTTACAGCACAGGGAATTCCATCTCTTATCATTTTCTCTCTTTTAAAGCTAAAATTAACATCGTGACTCGATGACGCGTATTAAAGAATCATTTCACAAATTTGGAAAAGCCTTAATTTCTACTGCTATGTACTTAATAGAAAAGATGGGATGTTTTTCTTATTTTTTATTGTGCTGTGAATTGGCCTCCTGCTTTGGCCATTACAATTCTAATTTTTTTTAAAGGAGACCAAACTTAGAGAATATAACCCTCCGTATGTCTATGATGCATATCTGCAATATACCGCTTAAACTTAATTATTTTACAATGCATGCGTGATATTTGCAAAGTTTCTATTTTATGTAGTTCTACACATGGTACTTACTATATAGTGTATTTGATTTGGTTACACTTAAATAAGCTAGTGAATTGAAATTATGATCACTTTTGGCTCAATTTTGTAAAAAAAAAAATATATAAATTCACAAAATTTCATAAAAGCCAAAAAACACGTATGTTTTTATTTTGCCTTTTTATCTTATGGATAAAACTGCATTGATTTCAGACAAAATGTCATACGAAGGGCTAAGATTGTAAGTTTTTCAATCGTATTAATAATGCTTATGCTCTGCTGGTAGCGCCGTGACTCGAACCAGGGCCGCCTACCCTGAACAAACTCACATTGTAGGCTTCCTGCTAGCTCCTTGAGCTAAGAGATGGGCATTCGAGTTACATTCATGTGACAAGGACATTAAAAAAATTAATTTTATTAATTAATATGCAGATTGATGGATGCATTTGACAAAAAATGTATTCAAAAAATATATGAATCGATCTATCGAGGTCACTTCTTTCAGTCCATCTATTGGTGAAAGATACATATATAAGTAGATATATAATCTTTAGGCCAAATGGGTAATAAATCAGCCTACCATTTATTTTTTGGCGTTTTCATTCTGTTCCCATATCGGACTTGTTTAACATTCACAGTTTAAATTTCTATATAACAAGAACGTAACTTATAACGTAATTTTCATTTGCACCGAAGCTTTATTGCTCAATGGTCATGAACCGCGAATTAATATCCTACCAGGTCCGTGCTATGTCATTTTTAATCGACTTCAAAAAAATAGGAGATTATCAATTAAATTTTTATAAATTTTTGTTATGCGTGTTACCTCAGAACTTTCGACTGGGTGATCCGATTTTGATGATTCGTTTTGTATTTGAAAGCTTCCCGGTTGATCCCCCTTTCAATTTGATTCGGTTCTGACAATGGCATGCATAAGAAAACTACCTTAAACTTACTTTAATTAGAATCATCCTCAAAACATGAAGTCAGTTTAAATGTCAAAAAAAAAGTATTCCACTAGATCTGAAGTTAGTTTTTTGTTTGTTAAAATTGTACTTGTTAATGAAAATTATCTAATTCTAATGACGGATCATTATTATTCGACAACAGCATTCCTAATACGCACTTGGGCTCCAATATCTGTTCATTAATATAAAAACGTTTTTATAAAGAAACTCTTTCAAACGAATATCTGTGCTATGTTAGTGTAATATATAGTATGATCATATGGTATACCATCGCCATACACACAACAACACCAACAACAATATGCCCTTACATTTTCAGTGAATTACTTGACAACATAACCAAAATTTTGAGGTCATCAAAAATATAAAATTGTGAGTTCAATCGAGGCTTAAATGAAAAAGCAAAGTGCCTTAGTCCTGTTATACAGCTAAACCTAGAATGTTGTCCAATTTCGATTGTTTCAGTGGCTTATATTTGCAGGCAGTCTTGATCGATGGATTCTTTAAATTGTGCATATTTAACAATTTATTGAAAAAGTTTTATACTCGCATATGCTTGGGTTTTATGCTCTTGATGTGACATTAGCAAGCCTCTTTATGCGCACCTCTCTTAACCTTTATCAGTGGGAAGGGCATCGTTTTCCACCCACAAAGTTGAAGGGTCTATTGGCTTGGCATGACAAATAAAATTCGATTTTCCATTTCGATTTTGTTGCTTTTGCACACTTCAACTTCCTTAGAAGGCCTTAGAAAAAGGTCTGCCATTAAATGTAACTGCACTGCAATTTACATAATTTTCTATTCATTACATAATTCTGTCAATTTTCAATACATTATAATTTGTTAAAAGAAAGGACAGACACCGCAGCCTCAGCAACCCTCCTGTTCAATACGGAAAACGCTGTTTTTATTCCTCGATGTTGTAGGTAGATGAGAAAAAGAAGAAGAAGAAGAGAAATATGCAAAGAGGAACAGCGGCAGAAAAAACTGGATAAAATTATAGAGGGGCTCTTATTTGTAATTTGTTTTCGGCTTAAAAAGATTATTTTATGGTGAAAACAACCCGAGGCGGCCCTGCCAGCCCGGCCCGGGTCCGTGCCCTTTTAATATCGCCGGGCCAAGATGTTCAATTTTTCATGCGCAGTGTGTCCGGAAAATGAAAAGAAAACCAGGGCAGTAGCAGTAGCAGCAAAATTAACACATTCAGTACAAAAGATGCGCCCAGAGATAAACAGACCGCAGCACTAACAACAACAACAACAACAACAACAAGAACAACAACAGCAGCAGCAGCAGCAAGGATGGCACAGGATGCAGGGAGCATGATTCGAGGCAAGGACAAAATCACGTAGCCATTATAAATGCAAATCAAGTGTCAATATTCGTTGCTAATATTGAAAATTCATTTGAATATTTTTCGCAAGGATTTTCATTTGCCAGGCAGGGCAGCACAAAAGGAAAATGGAAAATTCACGTATTGTATTTGTCTGGCAATGAGAATCAGCAAAACAAACAAAATGCCCGCAAAATCAATTCTAATCCCAAATGTCAACCGAACCGAACAAATCGAAGACATTGCAAAAACTGGCAGGCATACTAATGAGAGAGCAGGCACAGGACATACCTCCGAATACATACTGCTAGGAGCCAGTCGAGTTCCAAATCTCGCCCACTTGCTAAAGATGATGGAATGCTCAGTTCATTAAAGTCAGCAAAAGTTTATCACCGACTTGGGAGCAATAAGCGCGACTTTTCTCACAGACACTTACATACTTGTATATCAGCGCTCTCCATATTCAAATATGTTTTATCTCCACCCCGACCCCGCCACCTAATTAATCATCCCGGCTGTTGGGGAAAAGAACTGTCTCCCGAGATAATGTCAACATAAATTGTTTTGGCAATTTCGTACCATTTTCCCGCATTATTTATGAACTTTTCTGGCAACTTTCCCCATGAAATATGCGCGCTCCAGCCTGCAGCGGATGTGGCTGGCACTTTCGCCAGCATCGCTCCCAGGTAAGAGAGCGTCTGAGCGCAGGAATAATCGCTACGAGCACCAGTGGCCAGCCAAAGGAGGGTGCTGGTAACGGATGCCAGCCATTTCATTTGACGTGTTGACTTTGGCCCTTGGCCAGCTCATTGCACTCGCCCGTGCCACTGACTGGACTGTGGAGGGCTGAAGGGTGGAGAGTCAACCACGAGGAGAACCATGAGTTCTGGCTGGACCCCCGCAATACGCACGACGGACTCGCACTGCGTTTAATGAGCCTGTCAACAGCTCAGCCGACCGGCCTTCTGTCCTTTGGCCGTGGGCGTGTGTCTTACCCCCTTTGTGGTCAGCTTAATCACAAAGTTTAATGAATGGATTAACCTTAGAGCTGGGGCGGCTTGCTTTGGTTCGGTTTGCGATTCGTCTAAATCAACTAATACTTATAGCTGGCCAAGCAATTTATTTGTAAAATGTATTTGATGAGGGTAGCTCTAGGCGTGGCATTACGAGCCACACACTTACTACGTACTTTTTTTTAATAACAATTTCATAACTTTTACGGAAACAGATTTACTAAGTATTGGAAAAAATATAACAGATATACGGATGTTCAATTGTGGGGATGTTCTGGTTATGGGAAGTCCTGAATCATGAATCGACAACCTCTTAATACATTTTGGCGAAAATTACCCACCTGCTGCAAAAATAGTTGAACTAACTAGTTTTCATTTAATTGAAGTGTCCTATTAACTATGGAACTATTTATACGCTTCATTGAATAGTGTATGGGTACATTGTTTTTGGAACATACGACCTGTATATACAAGTACACTACTCCTTCCACAGTATTAGAGCCATCGCGATGAGGCTGCTTTTAAAGGTCGATCATATCAGAATACTATATCATATACATAGCATACAAATGAAAAAGTTATTGACAAAAGAATCCTTCTCAAATCATATCGTTCCTATCATAGCTTTATGGTAGATAGAATAATCTGTTTCTTTATAAAGATATTTTAACAAGATATTGCATTTATGAGTTTGTCATATTGCAATACACATAATTCTGTTTTTACACGGTAGATTGCTTCCAGAAATAGTCGTGTAAAAGAAGACGTTGGTCATATGCAAAAATAGGTGATTGGTTCCTTATCTCTAAAATATTTCTTTATGAAATTTTTCATTTTCAAACCGTGTAAAAACAGATTTAGATGTACACATAATTATGTTTTTACACGGTAGATTGTTTCCAGAAACGGTCGTGTAAAAAAACCGTGTAAGAAGACATTGATCATATGTTATTTTGAATCCTGCTAAATGGAATAAAATCGTGCAACCATATATAACATTTTTCATTTTCAAACCGTGTTTATTCAAACCCGTGTAAAAAAAGCGGTGTAAAAACAGAATTAGGTGTACTTAGTCCGAACATTCATAGAATCATTGGTGCAACAACATTTATTTTAGTTAAACTATTGTATACGCCTCTCCCTGCGTATGTAGTGTATAGAGTCGGGCTGCTATGATTCTGAAGGATGGTAACTGTTATTTACGAGAACTCCCCGATGTATTTCAGTATCCCTAATTCAAGCCCAACATGGCCCGTTTATAAATTATGGATAGACCAGGAATTTTGATTCCACGTCTAATAGTGGTTTCGATTGGCTTCATTCCCTACAATGGAGTCATCTTAAATTCAAAACTATACTGATCAAGGTAAAGGTCAAGGTCTTAATGTTATAAGGGAACATTTGAACATTATTTTTTAGTTTTATAAATAAGTTTACGCTAAGTTTTTCTATTTAACTCTATTACGGTATTATTTGTATCATAAACATGATTATTTCTGAAGATGTGGGAAGCAACTTCGTGTTGAAAAACCTTGTAGTTATATCGAATGACTTTTCAACACTCGCCGAATAGCACCAAATGCTCATTAATTGAGTGTATATGGTACGCGGCTAATGGAAGAATAAGTTTTGTGTCCTTGGGACTACATCAGGACACGCGATTGATGTGCTTGACGCAGCTTTTTGGCTATCAGAGTAAATCAATTATTTCGCCAATTGTATGATATTTATGTATACTTAGGAAACTCTCCCTAACTAAAAAGCTGAAGATGTTCCGCATCCAAAATTCACTGCCTTACTAGGAAATGTAGGCCAAATTTGCTTTCCAGCTTCTATCAAACTATACGATATTTCAGCTCGGAGCTTCAGATTGAACACCTGCTTACAAATTAAAACAAACTGTAAATCTTCGACAAGATTCATATTC